TTGCGCCACGGAGACTTCCATGAAGGGATTTTGAAAAATTTTCATCAAATTTATTTTTGTGGATGAAATTCTAACTTGCGTAAGGTTTCTGCTACGTTATTGTATCTTGCTTGAAAGACATGAAAAGCGAAATATCAGGGAAGTTGGATAGTAACTGTCTTAGCCAATAAGCCAACAAATAACTGGTGTTGTATAGTACCAGTTCAAAACAGAGAAGTAGGTTGAGACCTTTATTAAATCAATATTCAACCACGTTTGGCCTGTTGGTATAGTGGCAAGATTCTCGCTTCCCAGGTTCAACTCCCGGACAGGCTCCATGTTTACTATTTTGTCAAAATACTTTACGAGTCGTAACAGTATCAATTTTTGAGGATTTTTCATCACTGACTTATCGCATGTGAATAACTGATCTAAGCCAATGATATCACGTAAAATGGTGAAGAAAATTTTGTGGGGAAACTTTGAAAACAGCTTTGTCGAATGAGAAAAAATAGCTTCAAGAAGGATCTTCCGGCACTTCCTCCACGCGAATTTTTTCATGTTTATATTATTAATAAGTAATCATACGGTTTTTCTCGNGAGTTTTTCAAAAAGCTGAAATTGCACGAGCCGAAGTGGCTCTCTGCCACTTGAGCTAATTCCCCGAGTCTCAAGCTAGTCATAAGCATTTTAGATAAAACAAATTATAGGGTTTAAAAAAAACAATTGAATATTTGTGATAATATATGACGCAAGCCAAGCAAGAGACGATAACCATGGCAAGAGACGACAACCAAAAATTATCCCTGTTGTACAACATGTGAAGCTTCGATGAGCAATTTTCCAAAGTAATGAGAATCAAAAAGTGCGAAGTCTCTAAGGCACCGATGGGATTCGAACCCATGACCTCCTGTTTACGAGACAGGCGCTCTAACCAACTGAGCTACGGCGCCCTACATTAGGTAACAACCTGTTTTATTGTTTATTTATTTATTTTTTTAAAAAGAAAAAAGAAAAAAAAGTTTAAAAAAACATTGTTAATAAATATAGTACTAAGTTGGTCACATGTCCACTTTCACGCTTGGTAATTTCCAGCAGTACTAAGATAGCTCAAAATAACAGTTATTTACGGGTTGATTTTCTTTTTTATCTGCAAGTACCCAGAATACTTTCGATCGAACTGTTGTAAGACAGTTCCGTTGGAACCCCCTCATGAGAGATGTTTAACATTCTCCTTTAATCAGAGGATGCTTATCAAAAGTTGATAATAGAAAAAATTATCACCGTGCCGTTTTTGAATTGTAAGCCCCAAAAGCTGCAATTAAGGGTGTTTTAAGCAGGTCATACTGTTGCTATGGCAACCTATTATGTGACGAAAATGACAACAACGTGCTCACCAATGATTTGGCNTAGGTAACAACCTGTTTTATTGTTTATTTATTTATTTTTTTAAAAAGAAAAAAGAAAAAAAAGTTTAAAAAAACATTGTTAATAAATATAGTACTAAGTTGGTCACATGTCCACTTTCACCCTTGGTAATTTCCAGCAGTACTAAGATAGCTCAAAATAACAGTTATTTACGGGTTGATTTTCTTTTTTACCTGCAAGTACCCAGAATATTTTCGATCGAACTGTAAGACAGTTCCGTTGGAGCACCTCATGAAAGATGTTTAACATTCTCCTTTAATCAGAGGATGCTTATCAAAAGTTGATAATAGAAAAATTATCACCGTGCCGTTTTTGAATTGTAAGCCCCAAAAGCTGCAATTAAGAGTGTTTTTAGCAGGTCATACTGTTGCTGTGGCAACCTATTATGTGACGAAAATGACAACAACGTGCTCACCAATGATTTGGCAGTTTTTTGATACCATGATTGTAGCATGAAGTAATTAAGAGTGGTTTCAACGACCCATCAAATCTAAGTATTGGAAACTGTTTTGACCCACTTTAAGCCATCGTTTTCTCGCCTCACACGCCCGTAGGGCGTGTGAGGC